AAATATATAAATATATATATATATATATATTTAATATGTAAAAAAAAAGATAAAACAATTTTTTTATTATTTTTTCTTTTGTTTATCTTTTGACTTTATTTTTATCTATTTTACACAACTACATTTATATGAATATGACTGTTGCTATGATTTGTAAGATCACTATATAGATCATATAATGATTTTACAACTATTATAGGAGCTATATTATAATTATTATTGCTCTTACTACAATAGTTATATAATAAGTTATATTATTACATATATAGATACAATTATCTATTAATTGTCTATTCAACAATAGTTATTATGATATATCGTTAAGCGTGAAACACATAATAGTTGCAAAAATGAAAAAAATCTTTTATATTGTATATCAGCAAAGAACGATTTCTAGACTCTTACAAATACAGATTAAAAAAAAAGAAAGAAAATAAAAAAAAGAAAATGCAGTAGAAATAAATTTTATACATGTCCAATTATATTTTTGTCGTTCATTAGATGTTTGAGATTTTTCGCCAGTTTCAATAATATCATAATTAAATGCATTTAAAAAAAGGAGATTTAAGAAGATACAACGATAAACAGTATTTTTTTGCGATTTATTATTTTCATTATTTTATTTTATTTAAGACTCCTTCAATTTAAAAATTGCATCTTTTAATAAAATATTATCTCTGAAATTATTCATTATTCTGATATATATTAGTATTTAACAGTTTAATTCACTGCCTATTGCGCACTGCCAATTTTTCTCCATGCGCTTTTAGAAACTGTTATATTAAAATAGATTTACTTAATATTCGAATACAAAAATTATTATTTGATAATTTAAATGATAGGTCTAGAGATGCTGAGGTTTAAGCTCATTCTTGTACTTAATTAACATTTTCGTGTATTTTATCTATTCTACAATCCCTCAGCTTCTCTATGTTGACTTATGTATCTTTCTGTTTTATATGAAATGTATTTATTTATATTTCTGACAGATATTGAATAATCTATACGAAAATAGTACGTCAATCTGCTCTATGTGATTTATATTATAATATATTTTATTCACGTATATATACTATGTATACGTGTAATCATTTTTTAAAAATATTAAATTGTTTTATTGAATTTTTTTTTTGTTTATGTAAAATGATGATGGAACATTGCAAATATTATATTCGATTTCTATTATATTCAAATTTAATTGGATTTAATCCATATCGAAATTATATAATGATTTAATTTTATATGTCATTATTTCATTATGTATTTGATGCAATATAATTTATTAAATATTACAAGAATATATGATATAAATGATAACAGAATAGAAAATGAAATTTGCAACTATCGATAAATTATAATTATGTACATCTGTTCTATTATTATTATTTCTATTATTATTTTTTTTTGTAATATTTTAGAAATATTATTTTGTATATATTTCAATCTAATTTTTTTACAAAATTAAAATTTTCTATATTGATATTGAATATCATAGAATAGATATGATATTATAATATACCATATATTTGAAAATTATTTTACTAAGTATTTTTATTTATGGAACATATTTTATTTATATAATGAATTTATAGTAAAAAATATAAAAATTATTTTTATTTCGTAATTAAATATAAAAAAAATTTAATCCAAATAATTCTATAAAAATTTCAGCAAAAAAATAACATTTATTAAAATTAAAGAAAAGTATTTATAAATATAGTTTATTAACTTTACTTATTCTTTTTCTATTTTGCTTATAAATTCAATTCTAATTTAGAAAATTCAGAATATTTTAATAATTATAATTTAAAATAATAAATAAAATTTGTTTATGCAAACTAATACAGTTATGAAAAATATTTTTGTGAATAATATTTGCAATTCAGTTATATTAAATTATTGATAAGTCTTCCAAAATGAAATTAATTAATTTTGACTTTTAATTGGCATTATTTTATTATAATTTTTTATACAAATTATATATTGTCTTAGCACAAATATTTATATTATAATTAAAAATGCAAATATATATATACAAACACACACATATACAAAATTTAATTTTAATAAAGTATTAGTATTTAATTTAATAATATTTTAATAATTTTTATTATTAAATTACTTTTTTATCATTTCTTTAAAATGTTTTTAATCTAATAAACTATTTACAATGAAATGAATTAAAACAATCGTTTGAAAATCGCTATTCGTATTATTTAAATAAGATGTTTATTCTATTTCGATAAATATTGAATATTTTTATGCAATATTTTGGAAATAGAAATAATATTCATATATTAATGATAATGAATTGTGAAAAACAAGTAATTTGCATTATTGCATTACTTATGCTGGAAAACTTATTATTTAAAAATTTAATAAAATAATTATAAATTTTTTTTTATTAAATATTTTTGAAATGATAAATTTTCTTTATCTAAATTTTATTAACTTAATGATCGAAATAAAATGAAATAAAATATTATATTTCTATTTAAATATGAAAAAACTCTGTTCTAATAATTATTATAATATAAAAATATAATTACAGCAAAAATATACATGAATATTATTTCTTTCATAGATTAAGTATATTTTTAAATTATTATACATTAAAATAATATATTGTATAAAACAAATAATGAAAATATTTAGTAATA